AAGATAATTCAATAGAATATTCAAGTCATCCAATAAAATATTCAAATCATCAAATAATATATTTTAAAAAGTAGTTTCAGGTGATAGTTGTGACTATATTAGGTTAGTGAGATAGTGAATGATTAATTTTTGTATGTTCTGTCTTGTCTGAATTTTAGGTAGTTATTTATATTACTCTCTTAATTTCATTAGTAAGTGAAAAAAAAAATACTGTGACATGTTAGAAGAGAGTCTACTTTTCTTACCAAAGTGTTAGTCCTTTCGTAAATGCCATGTTGAGCAGCCAGTTTCTTATTCCGGTTTTGAAATTTCTGTGGTTCTGCTGAGAGCTATCCACCTGTCCTCAATCTTGGAAATTTTTTTCAGTTGAAAAAATACTTAGTTTAAGTCAAATAACATTCATACTAAAGCTCAGTGAGCAAGATTAATAATCCAGTTGACTAATAGTACCATGTAGAGCCCCGTAGTGTGATGATGATTAAGTACTGAGACATTTCCTGTGTGTCATCGAAGTAGTTCTTCAAACTTGGACAGAGTAATATTAAGAAACTAAGTGGAAATATGATTGCTTTTAAAAATATATTAGAAAATTCAGAAACATAACTTTCTATCTAAAAGGGATGTGAGCAAAGCATCCTTTTAATAGGCTTGTCCATCCCTGAGATTGACTATTTTGAAAGAGACCTCACTCATTTATGCCTATAAATTCTTATTTGTGAAGGAAATAGTGTCCTTATTCCAAATCACATAATCACATGGCCTTAGAGCATAAGCTCTCAGGCTGAATCAGTTAAATCTAAATGTAATGCTATCACCTACTAGTCATGTGACCATGATAAGTTCTAAACCTCCCTGTTCCTCAATGTCCTATCTGTAAAATGACAGAGGATTTTAGTATTTACTAGGATTTCTGTGAGATTTAAGTAAGATGATAACTGTGAAGTGGTCTGAAAAGTGCCTTGAATATAATATAATTTTGTCCATCCTAAGATGCACATTTTTCACATTTTAACACCTCTGAAATGAGAATGTGCCTTACAACTAACATTATTTTCTTTGATTGAGGTAGCGCTATTTGCAACTCTGTATATGATTTAGAGATATAGCTTCATGCCACACCTCTATAAAAGTATTTTAGCATGCCACACCCACCGTCTCAGCCTTTATAAATCTCTACCATGGTCCATTGGGCTCTCCTCTTTGCTTCTACCTCACACTCTCCTTTGTCTGGTAGTTCAAATCTATAGTCAGATTTCTAGGGTTTGTTTGGCTTAGTCTCGTCTATTCCGTTGTTTTGTTTATCTATATTCCACATATTAAGGAAATCATTGGAGTTTTTTTTTTCCTTTCTGCCTTATTTTGCCATGATTAATGTAATTTAAAATAGTATCTTATCAATGTTTAATTGACAGCATCTTCTAAAGAGATTGATGGTACTTAAAATAGTTGTGTACTTTTGAGAGGATATTATTTTAGATTTTAATTACTAATAACAATAGTTAAGAGCTTACAAAATGCTAGCTTCCATCAGTAATCATCATCAATTTCTAATCAAGACCATGGCATGTTATTAGTTGACAGTGCTAAACTACAGTTCAATGCCATATTGATGTTTCCTTAGAAAAGATCTTTCAATCTCTTTTTCATATTGCTTTGTATTAAGCTAATATAAGTAATTATGGCATTATCTATGCACTGTCTACATTACTCTCTGTGCCATACTTGGAGAACGGCTAAAATGTTCTTCAATAGGTCAGTTTCTGGAAGTAGAGAAGACAATTTATTTTCTCTGTTGATGTATTTTCTTAAGTCTATCCAGAGAAGTGTTTTTTCTAAGCTAGCAGAACTGAGCCACCATTGTACTACTTAAGATTTACTGATCTTCACTCTTCTCTGAGGAAGAAAAGAAGCAGTTATTGATCTATAACAGAGACTGGATGGTGGCCAAACCTCCTCTGGTTTATACTGTGCATATCATTAGAAAGTTCGGGATCTCACAGTTTCAGGCCACCTGTCAGGCATGGACAATTTACTATGGAAAATCAATACCCAATAAGAAGTGTTGTCTTTGTGCAACTTTGTGTTATTTTATCAGTGAGGTGCTCATAGTCCTAATTTTAGGCCTCCCCTTCACTTTTACTGTTCGGTGTAGGGGGGATGACAGATCAATTTGGATCAGAGATAAAGATCTTCTGCTTGGTGAAAGAGGGTCAATAACAGGAGAGAACCTTGGACCAAAGTTTATGAAGCTTCTGGGAATATCTCCATCCAAATACCTTGACACATATTTCATTCCCCATAGCATGTGCAGCTTGTTTCTTCTTGCCTTCTATTTGCCCTCAAGAGTTTAAATGGTGGTATTTACAAGCTATTATGAAGCAAGAGTACAAACACATGGAGCAAGAAAGGGGCCAGTAAACCGGAATTTTGCTTAGGTTTTTGTTGTTAACTTCTAAAAGTATAATTAGTTGGATTATTCTAGAAGTTGACTTTCTTTCTTTCGGCCTTTTTTAATTGACAGCATCTTCTAAAGAGATCAGCGGTACTTAAAATAGTGGTGTACCTTACAGTGGATATTATTTTAGACTTTAATAACTAATAACAATAGTACGAGCTTGTGAAATGCTAGCTTCCATCAGTAATCATCATCACTTTCTAATCAAGACCATGGCATGTGATTAGTTGATGGTGCAAACTTCATTCTTTAGTCATTCCAATCCTTATACCCCCTTTTGTTATTGAAGCACCATTGTGTTGCACTCTTGCTAGCATTTTTTGACAGTATAGGATAACTCCCCCTTAGTCCCCAAAGCATTCCTACCACCATGGCACCCGTGATCATTCATATCCTTAATTATAATGCCCCTCTATCCCTAAAGTATGACTTTTGATTTCACCAGCTCTGACTGTACACAAAGGCCATTGCTGACCAAGTTCAATGACTTGGACTTGAAATAGCACTTTTTCCTACAGAATGTCAGGTGATTGCCACATAGTCAGAAAGATTAGAGCCATCCTGCCCTCTTGGTGAGCTGCCAGGCAGAAACAAGGAACCAGCAGGGAGCTAGGGGGCCTCAAGGGAAAGACTGAGAATGAGGTCTCTGAGGTTAAGCTAAGCAATGGAGAAAAGCCTTGCAGGGAAGCATTCCTGTCAGAGCAGCTTGTAAAAGCCAGTCCTTTATAGAGTTTGCACAGAACTGTTTTCATAGTAGTTAGCTTTGAACTGTTGTAGTGTAAGTCATTCAGACAGTGAGGAAAATGTCACTAACTGAACAGTAGGAAATTACCACCATGTGTCATTAAAGTCATCAGACATTTCCTCTTCCTTCCTTTTTTTTTAACTTATATTTCTGACCTCTCATAATCTTGTGGATGTGGCCTTTTACATAGCATTTTTAGTTACTTTTTTTCTTCAACATGTTTCAAAACAAATGAAACAAAATTTGACAGGAAGTAGGTAATGTTTCTTTTTTAAATAATTATAATTACTACAGTAATCAAAGAGCCTAAAGCATCCATAGTTGCATCACCCAGGGACCACCACCATGAACATTTTGATGCATTAACTTCTATTGTTTTCTTATATATAATTTTAAAAAAACAATATACATACATAGTTTCCACAAACTTATGTTTATAATAGAATAATAGTTTTTTATCCATGTACATTGAGTATTTTGCTGTATTACTAAAGACTTTAAATTACTTCAGTGCATTACAATCCAGTATTTGTGGACGTTATTTTCACATCCTCCTGTTGCTTGGAAAGTCTGGTGTACTTCTGAATTGACACTAATTCTTAATTTGGGATTACTTCAACTCTGTTTAAAAAAAAAAAATCTGTAAAAAGTTCCACAGTCCTTGTCTCAAGTTAGAATTTGAACAGAATAAGATGTTTCTGTGTGTGTCTCTGCTTTCCTTGGCAGCATTTTTCAAAAGGCATTTTGTAAAAATGAAGGTTGAAGAGGGCAATGTTCATTTTCTTATTTCTATTCTGTTTGCTTTAAATCTTCTGATTGTAACAGAAATGATGTTGCTGTAATCTCATCAATTTTTAAACAGAGAATCAATATAGAATGAGAATATGTTGCCTGACATGAACCGTGATATTCCAAAACTGTGTTGTTTGAAGTTTATCCAACCAGACAGTGGGAGCCATTGAAGATTTTATGTTAAGGTGGGGACTGACTGGATCAGAATTGTGTTTTGGAAGACTGGCAAAATGACTCAAACTATCTTAAAGTATTTCAATAAATTAATCTTTTTTTTTTAAGATTTATTTATTTGTGCATACAGAACTGGGGTGCAGGCCAGAGGCTCAGGGGCGGTGAGAGGCTTCACCAGAGACAGAGTGGGGAGCAGAACAGGCAGATTGATGAAGTACACTGCTGAGGGGAGCAGCGGGCAGGTCAGGAGAGGTCTGCCACGCCATGTAGTCACCTCTGGGGCAGGCAGGAATCAAACTCATGCGGAAGTGGCTTTAGCTTCTCAGTGCTGTGCTTTAACATGCTGTGCCACCAGGGAGGGCCTGAATAAATTAATCTTTTAAAAAATGCAAACATTTTGTGCAACAACAGCTTCTAAATGCAACTAAAGAAGTGAAACTGTTGAACCAACATTGGGAAGGGAAGTTAAGTTTAAGAACCAAATGGAGGTTGTGAGGTTTTAGAGACAGTGCACACTATAGGTCATTTGCACTTGAAGGTCACCTCCCTACAAAGGCATGTTTCTGCAGAACCAGCTTTTTATTTTCCATGAGAGTATGATGTCTAGAAAGAGAGCTGCTTTCAGTGCCTCTCCACTGGCACATCTGTGAGCATGTTATCATCTTAGCCTCTACTAGTTGGGTCCAGTACAGCCCCTACCTTGGTCCTCTGGTGTCTCTCCTTTCCTCTTTGCTTTCTCCATTAGCAGTCATCTTTGTAAACAGTAGTCTAAGATTTAGTGTTGTACATATTCTTAAATGATCCATTTTGATGGGACTTTCTTTATTGTTTCAGGTTGAATGCATTTGGTAACTTGATGCATAAAATTTGCATGACTCCTCACTCCTTTCTGGATCTGTCATTGGATTTAAGCCAGCATGGCTCACATCACAAAGGTTAATGGCTGTGCCTCAGGTAACTGTGTGTTCTGGAATGCATATGTGTGTGTGTGAGTAGGTGTATGTCTTTGTTCAAACTGATTTCTTATTTCTCTTTTAATAATGGATAAATAATTGCAAGTCGCCTAGATAGCAACGATTTCAAAGCAGTTTTCTGTCCCTTGAAGTTGAAGTTGTGTGCTTGTTTTTTTTTTGTTTTTTTTTGTTTTTTTAAGGTAGAGGGGCAGGTTTTAAATCTCTCCGAGAACTTGCTTTTATCTTTAGAGTCTCTATGTACCAAAATCAGTTAGGTAAATTACTACCTAAGTCAATTTTGTTGAAGTGTTGAAAGATAAATGAGAAATCCTGAATTCTGATGCAAGTATATATACTCCTCCTGCATTTCTTTATGAATAGAGATTGAATCATGAAAGAAGAAATGAATTTGGATGCTTAGCCAAACCCCTAATATCCGCTCCAAATCACTTTTTGTTTGATGTTGCTAAACAGAAAGAAAGGGAGGGAAGGGGGTGGAGAAAAGGTGTATCTTTAAAAGTGCCTTTTCCCAAGAGGAATATGTGACATCATATAAATAATTAAGAAAAAGACATATTCTAGCTCCCACTTTGGTTACATTAGAGACCTATACAGTTTGCATATCGATCCTAATATTGTTTCTGTAAGACTGGCTCTGAGCAATGTATTATGGACAGAATGTGGAATTGAAGTTAGGAATCCTGAATTAAAGTCCCACTTTCAGTCCTAATTATGAATTACCTGGCATGTCTATTTCTTCATATGTATATAACCAATTTGTATATCCCTCCATAGAGTTAGAATCATTGGGAGCTCTGGAACTTACAAGTGCTATCTATAAGCTGTAAAGCACTTCTAAAGATAACACAGGAGACCTGTGAAGTGGACTTGCCCAACACATGCTGTGCCCTTTGTTCCAGCAGTTCAGCTGCAAGTATCTGACAAGAATGCTTAAGCTTATCCATTGCAAACCCAAATAAATTCAGTTGTTCTTTCTGGGACAACTGATCTTTCTCTGCCCATTCTTTTAGTAGTCCTTAGTACTGCCTGAAACTCAGGACATTTATGCATTCTGCTCAGGGACTCCTGTGAATAATAATAAGTGAATGACAGTGTCTAACATTTATAACATTATATGTACCAGGATGCCTTAGATGCTTTGCCTGCATTATTATACTTAATACTCACAATAATACCATGAGATTATGCTATTGTCCTTATCACCAGTCTCATCCCTGTGATAGGACAGAGAAACTCAGTAACTTACCGAATGAATTAAGAAAAGTCAGGTTTATTATTTGTTTGTGTCTCTAATGAAATATTCACAAGAGAGGAGGTTGGAACTTTATAAGATTTCATGAGTATTGTAGTTGGACTTCAGTCTTCTTTGATGCTGTGATTTCCTTCCTTCACCTTCCCTCACTTCCGTTGTCACAGTCAGAAGGGAAGGGGGCTTGGGATTGTTACAACTCAGCACCTCAACTCTCTGGCAAAAGTCATCCTCAGGTGTTTGGATATCTACCCCATTTGCCTCAGATTCCATTTCAACTTGTTTTGTTCTGGAGTGTCCTTTTATTCTTTGTTCCTGAAGTCCAGTGATCCATCTATAGCTCTTCCTCACCTGGTGTCCTGCCTAACAGTTCTGGACTCTGAAAGTACAGAAAAGCTTTCTGATTTGTGACTTCTGAGGTGTCAAATATGAGTTGTTACTACTGATAGGTACAAGGGAAGGATTTTTTTGCTTATTCTAGTCTCCATGATGTTTGTAAGTCTACAAGCAATTATGCTTAGAGACTCAGTCATACAGTTACATATTTACACCTATACATAGATGTATATATGCACATACACATGTACATTACATATACATGTGTATATGTATATAAGTTCATTATAGAAAATTAATGCAGTACTGTCTAAATTAAGCATAAATACATACTTTCCTCACTTTCCATTTTATTTTTAAGTTTTCCACGTTTTACACTGTTGAAATCATGCTTATACAGATCATTATTTCACCTTTTCTTTTCCCACTTCGTCTTACAAAAAAAAAAAAAAACCCTGCCCATGATCTGGTTAAAAATAAATAAAGAGAAATACCTGCCCAGGGCTTTAAAAAAGCAAAGCTCAAACAATGCAAAAGCATATACTAGTTAGAAGTAGACTGTTTTGAGGTGTAACTAGCATAAAAACATTTACAGGCTATGATTAGGATGGGATAAAATGGTTTTATGGCAGCTAGTGAGGGCTGGTTACTGATCCTTTCCATGAAAAAAGAAATTACTTGCTTAAATAAGTGGTTTTAAGTGTGGAATTAATTATTTTTTCACTTTCCAAAGATAAAGCATAGTTTTTTGTTGTTGTTGTTTTTAAGATTTATTTATTTATGTGTACAGTAACTGGGGTACAATCCAGAGGTGTGGGGGGCGAGAGACTTCACCAGAGACAGATTTAGGAACAGAACAGTTGGGTCTACTGAGATGAGATACACTACTGAGAAGAGCACAGCAAGAGGGTCAGAAGAGGTCTGCCAAGCCATATGGGTCACCTCCCTGGCCAGGGATTGAACCTGTTCTGCAGTGGCTGCAGATAGCTTCATAGTGTTGTGTTTTAACCCATTGTACCACCAGGGAGGGCCTGATAAAGTATGGTTTTAAATGTACTTTAAAAAAAAAAATTCTACTTCCCTTACATGTCTATGCCCATGGAGTGGCCCCTTGTTTTCCCCTTGAAAACTTATTTCTTTGGACTCCTTAAAACATGAAGCATAAATACAGATGTGGGTGGAGTCAGGGCATTGGTCAGAGAAACACTTTTAATGATCCTAGGAATGAAGTAGGAGAGGAGCAGCTGAGCGAAGCACCCCACAGCCTAACTGTATCTGTGGCAGCAAAATGTTTCCGAGGACTGACCGTTTTGTGTCCATGTCCTTGTTTAGAACAAGGGTGGGTAAGGGGCCACACAAGTCCTTTTATACTCTGACCTCCCATTGAGTTCTGCAATTAGACTGGGTCACACATACTGAGTTTAAAATGAGAAAGCTACTGAGTCCTAGACTTTATAAAATGTGTTACATTTACAAAATGTATAAAAATTTCATAACAAGCATCTGTGCACATCTCACCTAAGAAATGCACTTCACTAGACCATGACAAATATTCTGAGCATTTACTCTGTAAGTGCCGTTGTTCTGCACACAGGGATACACTAGGGAACGAATCAGGCAAAACTCCCTGCCTCAACAATCATACATTCATGGAAGCTGAAGTCTGCATACACTCTCCACATACATACATTCTAGTGGAAGCTCTCCAGATAAAATAGAGAACATTTTACACTTCAAAAGTGTTTGTTGTTCATCTGAAATACAAGTTTAGCTAGGTGTCCTTTGTTTTTATTTCTAAACCTGGGAATCCTACCTGGGAGATTGCATCTTCCTCCTTACCACCCACCCTAGCTATGTCAGTCATTTGTCATAATATTATCTTGCACCAGATCCTCCATCCTAGCTCTGTTGACAGGTAGTTTGATTTTAATTAATTTAAAATATTTTATTATGTTATTACAAAGAGTACTCTAATGTAACTTGTTAACAAAATGAGATGGGTGTCATAAATTGCTCATGACTCTTACAGCCAACTGGGAAGCTTATGGGTACCACTGGCTAGGAAAATTGCTCTACTTCTGTGGGGTTTAGGAATGGGGACAGTCTGCTTTTCCCCAAGTTTCTGAATCATGTTGTAAACTGGATGCACTGATTGATACCTCCCTAAACACTAATTAATGTTGTGAAACTTTAATTAGAGCTTAGAATCTCTTTAGAAGTCAAATAACAAGTGGCTTATTTGTCAGATGAAGATAATAATACCTGTCCTACCTTTTTCACAGGATTGTGAGGAGGGAAAATAAAACAATACCTGTAAAAACACTTTTTAAAATATAAAATGCTGGTCAAATATCAGGGGAAGTCATTGTCCTTCTTGTTCTGCCTTCTCAGTCATGAGCTCCTGATCTAATACAGCTGTTCAGGTGCTCTGGGCGCTGTGTTAGAGCCAATAGCATTGGGGGAGGAATTGCACTACAGTCCTGTACCCAGTCAGGCAGGTGAATAAAGAGATGAGCTTTGTGAAGTGACTTGTTTTACTTGCCATCACTGTCTTTATTTTTGCAGATGGTTGTCTTTGATGGTTTATTCTAGCTTTCTTCCCTTCTTGATATTTCTTTTTGACAGCAATTTTTCCCCCAGAAGATACATATCTACTTTCATAAAGTGCTTATTAAACTGCATTTAAAATTTGGTAGGAAAATAGAAGGGAAGAATTACTCAAAATTTCACAGTAGGTATTAGTTTTAGTTATTTTTTCTCATACTTGTCAGGCACACAAAGACAGTTTTAATAAATGCTCATTTATTTTGATACTCAACTCTAAACATTATCAATATCTTTTCCAAGTCTTCCTAGAAAACAGTTTTCAAGTTAGGATTTTTCAATGACTGTGCAATATTCCTTACAATGTTTCTGCTAAACTTCTCTTTCTTGTTGTTTGTTCATTTGAATTGCTTCCAGATTTTCCCTCTTGTAAGTAATGGTACAGAGAGCCAAGTCTTGTCTGGTCATTTTTCTCCCCCTGTTGTTTATTTTCTGAAAATAATTTCATAGAAACAAGACAATTGCGTTAAACAGTGCAACTGTTTTTCATGATTGTTGGTAACCTGTTGTGGGTCTTGAAGCTTTTTACTTTGACCAGTTATTTGGCTCCAGGTTTGTCTCCATGCAGATCTTAAATAAGGTACAAAGGCCACTGATAAGACCTGGTCACTCAGACGAAGCCAGAGACTCACGGCAGAGCAGGCAAAACACTGCAGTACAGTGCAGCCCACTCTTGAGTTGTGTAAATATTTTTTCTGGGTAGAAGCATTTCTCAAACAGAACTCTGAGCCCACTGCAGTGAACCTGACAGGAATTGCTTGCTGTGTGTCAAGTGCAAAACCAGTTTACAC